GAGACTCCAGGGGCTGAGGTGGGAGGATCACTTAAAGCCAGGAGTTTGAGACCAGCTTGGGTGACATAGCGAAACCCTGTCTTTTTTTTTTTGGGAGACGGTGTCTTGCTCTGCCACCCAGGCTGGAGTGCGGTGCCACTATCTTGGCTCACTGCAAGTTCCGCCTTCTGGGTTTATGCCATTCTCCTGCCTCAGCCTCCTGAGTAGCTGGGACTCCAGGCGCCTGCCACCATGCCCGGCTAATTTTTTGTATTTTTAGTAGAAACGGGGTTTCACTGTGTTAGCCAAGATGGTCTCGATCTCCTGACCTCGTAATCTGCCTGCCTTGGCTTCCCAAAGTGCTGGGATTACAGGTGTGAGCCACTGTGCCCGGCCAACCCTGTCTTTAAAAACAAACTTTTTATTTTATTTTATTTTATTTTTATTTTTTGAGACGGAGTCTCGCTCTGTCGCCCAGGCTAGAGTGCAGTGGTGCAATCTCGGCTCACTGCAAGCTCCGCCTCCTGGGTTCACGCCATTCTCCTGCCTCAGCCTCCCGAGTAGCTGGGACTACAGGCGCCCGCTTTGTATTTTTATATAGAGACGAGGTTCACCAGTGTTTGCCAGGATGGTACTCGATCTTCCTGACCTCCGTGATTCCGCCCCGCCTCGGCCTCCCAAAGGGATTGCAGGCGTGAGCCACCGCACCTGGCAAAAAAAATTTTTTTAAGTTAGCCAGGCTTGGTGAATATACTTGTAGTCCCAGCTACTTTAGAGGCTGAGGTGAAAGGATCCCTTGATCTCAGGAGTTAGAGGCTGCAGTGAGCCATGATCATACCGCTATACTCCAGCCTGGGCGACAGACCCCAACTCTAAAAAGCAAAACAACAACAAAAAATTACATCTCATTAACATGAGAAACTTCTTTTTACTTCAATGGAGACATAATTCATTTTGGAGTTCAATGATATGTTCAAGGAGTTTGTTATTGTAACCAGAAAGTCAACCTAACTATTGTAACTAATATTTTTGCAGTAAAAATTTGTTTCCATTTGTTGCAATTCACTAGTGAGAAAAAAATCAGAATCTCAGCAAGTTCTTTTCATAAATAACATTCTTTGCATTTTATACAATAATTATCTTAAACTGTGTAACTAAAATATTACAAAGCAAACCAAGGACAGAGTCTCTATTGTAGCTGAGAGGTGCATAAAGCCATAGCAGAGCAGTGGAACCCCATAACCTCTCAGGGAGCAGACACTTTGCAGTTGGCTACCTGAATAAGATGGGGGCTCTATTAGCAATGAAGTAGCAGAGAAAGACGTTATGCAGGCAACCAACATAATCATCATCTATGGCCTTCTCCGACAGTAGTTTTCACAGTAGCCTCTGTGGACACCAGACTTCAGAAGTAACCTCTGGTTGATAAAAAAGAATCAGGGTTGGGCGTGGTGGTTTATGCCTGTAATCCCAGCATTGTGGGAGGCTGAGGCGGGTGAATCATGAGGTCAAGAGATCGGTACCATCCTGGCCAACATGGTGAAACCCCGTCTCTACTAAAAATACAAAAATTAGCTGGGCGTGGTGGCGTGCACCTGTAATCCTAGCTACTCAGGAGGCTGAGGCAGGAGAATCGCTTGAACCCGGGAGGTAGAGGTTGCTGGGAGCTGAGATCGCGCCACTGCACTCCAGCCTAGGGACGGAGCGACACTCCATCTCAAAAAAATAGTCAGAGCTGTTGCTATTTGCAGGGCTGACACTAGGTGGGGCAAGCCCAAGCCCTTTACCTGCATCTGCAAATCCCACAGTGTTAGGAGTGTGAGGAGACTTGGAAAAGTTAAGTGACTTACGAGGCTCCACCCACACCTTGTAAAGCAAGGCTTCACAGAGCTTGAGAGGATTCTGGGTACTTCCACTATTTCAGATTCCAGGGTTATTAAAAAAGTAACATCAAAACAAAGTTATAGATACGTGGTATATTTACTCTTAGGGAGACTATTTCAAATACAGAAACAATGCCATGACTTTATGTTGACATCATATGGAAACAAAATACCAAATGTCTAGATAGACTGAAGAGTGGACTCTGCCCTCAGTCCTGTGGAAGCTGCAGAAGTTGCCACAGATCTCTCAGAGTCAGGGGAAGGGCTATTTCAATTTTTTTTTTTTTGAGACGGAGTCTCGCTCTGTCTCCCAGGGTGGAGTGCAGTGGCCAGATCTCAGCTCACTGCAAGCTCCGCCTCCCGGGTTCATGCCATTCTCCTGCCTCAGCCTCCCGAGTAGCTGGGACTACAGGCGCCCGCCACCTCGCCCGGCTAGTTTTTTGTATTTTTTAGTAGAGACGGGGTTTCACCGTGTTAGCCAGGATGGTCTCAATCTCCTGACCTTGTGATCCGCCCGTCTTGGTCTCCCCAAGTGCTGGGATTACAGGCTTGAGCCACTGCGCCGGGCCTTTTTTTCCTTTTTTAAGAAGGAGTCCTGCTCTGTTGCCCAGGCTGGGGTGTAGTGGCGCAATCTTGGCTCACTGATACCTCCGCCTTCTGGGTTCAAGCGATTCTTGTGCCTCAGCCTCCCAAGTAGCTGAGATTACAGGCACGCACCATGCTCAGCTAATTTTTTTTGTGTATGTGTATTTTTAGAAGAGAGAGTTTCACCATGTTGGCCAGGCTGGTCTTGAACTCCTGACCTCAGGTAATCCACCTGCCTTGGTCTCCCAAAGTGCTGGGATTACAGGTGTGAACCACTGCACCCGGCCTATTTCCTTGGCTCTCCTCCTGCACCACTCTTCTGGGGCACCTGGCACTGTGACCCCTCTCTTTTCCCAGCCACCCAATGACTCAGGTTAGAAAGTTTAGCACTTTCCTTGTGTCTGTAGTCAGAAGCATTCCCAGGGAGAAGCACAGCCAGAGATAGGTCTCCTTCAGCCTGACCGGGGCCAGGACAGGAGCCAGTCTACAGCACTGAACAATGCAGTACGGCTGCAATGACCACCTCCAGAGACCCTGACCTGCCCTCCACAATCCAACAACTCTTTTTTTTTTTAAAGTATTTACTACATGGTGGAAACTGCCTTGGACCTTTGCTGTGGAAATAAGAGAGAATGGTTTGGTGGTGATGACAGTGAGTTAATAGATGACAGCACAGTGGTATAGTGATGTGGTAGAGCTGGCATAGGGTACCTTAGGAGCCATAGATGTATACCCTATACTCAGGTTTGGAGAGAATGGAGTCTAGGAATACTACCTGGGGCAGAGTTGCCTTGTCCTGAAGGCAGTATTGCCTTGTCCCAGGTAGTATTCCTAGACTTTATTAAGGATAACTAGGCAAAAAAAAAAAAAAAAAAAGAAGTGTATGTGCATTAAAATAGTGCAGTCTGGGGACTGGGAGTACAGAATAATTTATTTTGGTGATAGCAGTGAAATAAAACATAGCTAGCTGCCTGGGCAGCTTTGGGTTAAGATTTTGCAGTTTTGCAGTAGTTTTTTCTTTCTTTTTTTGAGAAAGGGTCTTGCTCTGTCATGCAGGCTGGAGTGCAGTAGTGCGATCACAGCTCAGCAGTGGTATTTTTGTACCCCATTTTGTCCATAATTACAAGGTCCAGAAAAAACAACAACAACAACAACAACAAAAAAAAACCCGATGGTTTGTCTCTTACATATGGGACCATATTCCTGCTCTACTAATACTTTTTTTTTTCTATCTTAATCTTTCTGATGTAGTCTTGCTGACTACATTCCTAATTTAAAAATACACTCAGTGTTAAGAAATTTGCCAACTACTTTAAATTTTTTGAGAGAAAATTGACATTATAAAGAGAGAGTTTGAGTACAGGGAGCTTCTTCCTTGTCCCACTGGTTGGTATGGAGTCAGACAGAAAGGGAATGGTCATAAATTGACAATCATAGATTTAAAGTAGAAGAAATCTGAAGCCTGAATTCCTTTGGGAAAAGCAAAACCTTAATGATCCTATAGCAGGGGTCCCTGGGTACTGGTCCATGGCCTGTTAGGAACTGGGCCTCACAGTAGGAGGTGAGTGGTGGGTGAGCAAGCAAGCAAAGCTTCATCTGTATTTACAGCTGCTCCCCTTGCTTGCATTACCGCCGGAGCTCTGCCTCCTGTCAGATCAGCAGTGGCATTAGATTCTCATAGGAGCATGAACCCTATTGTGGACTGCACATGTGAGGGATCTAGGTTGAGTGCTCCTTATGAGAATCTAATGCCTGATGATCTGTCATTGTCTTCCATCACCTCAAGATGGGACCGTTCAGTTGCAGGAAAACAATCTTAGAGCTCCCAAGGATTCTACATTATGGTGAGTTGTATAATTATTTCATTATATATTACAATGTAATAATAATAGAAATACAGTGTACAATAAATGTAATGTGCCTTAATCATCCTGAAACCATCGCCCCCACAGCTGGTCCATGGAAAAATTGTCTTCCATGAAACTGGTTCCTGCTGCCAAAAAAGTTGGGGACCACTGTCCTACAGCTCAGCAAGGAATGGCTTCCTGCCTGGTCCTTGGCACCTTCAGTGGAGAATTTGGGAATCTCATGTGACCTAATTCCTCAGACAGAAACCCTTCCTCTGAGTGAAGGAGAGACCGTTACCAGTACTGGGTATCCTAAGGAGTCTGAACAGAACAAATTCCCTTTGCCTTCTGTTTTTTTTTCTGATCTCATCTTTGGGTGTGAAATAAACCGGGATAGTTGCTTTCCTGATGGTTGTAATGTGCTGTAGCTCTAAAATAAAATCCTTTAGATAACTCAGAAGGGAGGTGAGATCTAGGAAAGGCAGAGAATGTGGGCTTCTGTGCACAATATAGATGGAAGAGGCCAAGGTTGCATCATTCAGCAAAAATTTAACCAACTACCTTTAATGTGCCACTTAGTATTGTACGTGCTGGGGATACACATAGCAGAGAACAAAACAGAGTCCCTGCTCTCACTCATGGGGCTCCAGGGGAATTGTGACTCGCTCAGTGTTTTGATTCCTTCTTCCTCTCTTCTTTTCTGTAGGACAGAATCATAAGCCGAATAGAATCTGACCATTGGCTTTCAGCTGGCCAGGACCTTCTACCTAGCTTTCCTTTTGTGGCCCATGTGCTGCATCCTCTGCCCTCAGTGTGCAACTGGCCCCCAACGCAATGTGTGTTTGTCAAACCATGGAAGTGGGGCAGTATGGCAAGAATGCAAGTCGGGCTGGAGACCGGGGAGTCCTCCTGGAGCCCTTCATCCACCAAGTAGGCGGACACAGCAGCATGATGCGCTACGACGATCACACTGTGTGCAAGCCCCTCATCTCTCGGGAACAGCGCTTCTACGAGTCCCTCCCTCCCGAAATGAAGGAGTTCACCCCTGAATACAAAGGTCAGTCACTGGCCAGTTTAATGAAAGCAGCAGCCTTGGGCTTATAGACCCCTTGCCACAGTTTTTCTTGGTTTGTTTGCCATATTATATCATTGTAGGTCTTTTTTCTCAAAGCACTAAGTCACTTTATTAGGTAAAATTAGGCTGAAAGCATCAGCAAGGTCTTCAGATCTTGAAAATTGAATTTATTAATAGGTGAAGCTGAGAAAAAGTCATAGCATTAAGTTCCATTGGTGGAAAAGAGCATGCTGTTGTCAATGAGTTTTCCCAATTGCTGCAACACTAGTCTAGGAGAGAAGAGGGAACATTTCTCTCATCTCAGAGAAGGAATGGGTACTTCCCAGGTTAAAGTGGTTGGATGGCTGGCAGTGGGGCTGTGTGGAGCCTGTGTCTGTATGTGCTGGGGCAAAGAATTGTTGGTAAGAAATGCAGGGACTTTTTGGGGCCTGGAAATCCTGATATTTGAAGGAAAAATAATTTATTTTAAAATATAAGTAAACTTTATAGAAAAGAACCTCATGAATATTAACTATACCAGAATTAACTAACTGTATTTTAAAATCTGATCTTTGTCAGTGTTTATAAATTTTTATGATTGCTCATTGTGTGTAAGTTTTTTTTTTTACGTTCTGCTTTGTAACTTAAAGTTGTATGATTTCAGTTAGGTTAACACCGTCCTTTACTTAGGAGAGTTTCAATTTAGAAAAACCAGTGCCATAGAATTAACTTTTTGTTTCCTTAACTTTTTAAAAAAATTTTTGGTAAAATGTATCTAACATAACATTTGCCATTTTAAAGTGTATAATTTAGTGGCATTAAGCGCATTCACAATGTTGTATAGCCATTCTCCATTTCCTGAATTTTTCATCATTTGAAGTAAACTCTGTATGTATTAAATAATAACTCCGCATTCTTCCATCGTCTGATCCCCTGGTAACCTCTTGTTTACTTTGTCTCTACAGATTTGCCTATTGTAGATATTTCATAAAAGTGAAATCGTGCCGGGCGCGGTGGCTCACGCCTGTAATCCCAGCACTTTGGGAGGCCGGAGGGCACGGGCGGATCACAAGTCAGGAGATCAGGACCATGTGAAACCCCGTCTTACTAAAAATACAAAAGTAGCGGCGCGGGGTAGGCGGGCGCCTGTAGTCCCAGCTACTCAGGAGGCTGAGGCAGGGAGAATGGCGTGAATCCTGGAGGCGGAGCTTGCAGTGAGCCGAGATCGCGCCACTGCACTCCAGCCTGGCTGACAGAGCGAGGTGGACTCCATCTCAAAAAAAAAAAAAAAAAAAGTGAATCGTTACATTTGACCTTTTTTTGTGGTCTGGGCTCTGGTTCACTTAGCTTAATGTTTACAAGGTTCGTTCATGTCAAGTGTGTATTAAAACTTCATTTCTGGCCAGGCCGCCAGTGGCTCGCATCTGTATTCTTAGCACGTTTTTTTTTTTTTTTTTTTTTGAGACATCTTGCTCTGTGCCAGGCTGGAGTTGCAGTGGTGCGATCTCGACTCACCTGCAAACCTCCAACTCCTGGGTGTTGGGATTACAGCATGAGCCACACGCGCTGGCCAGTCCTAGCACTTTGGAAGGCCAAGGCAGCGGGATCACTTGAGATCAAGGGTTCGAGACCAAAGCCTGACCAGACATGGCCAAAACCCTGTTTCAACAAAAAAATACAAAAATTAGGCCGGGTGTGGTGGTGTGTGCCGGTAATCCCCAGCTACTTGGAGGCTGAGGCGGGAGAGTATCTTGAACCCAGGAGGGAGGTTACAGTGAAGCCAGATTGTGCCACTGCGACTCTTAGCCTGGGGCAACAGAGTGAGGCTCTGGTCTCAAAAAACAAAAAAAACACACTTCATTCATTTTTTTTTTTTTTTTGAGACAAGAGTCTAGCTCTATCGCCCAGGCTGGAGCAGGTGGTATGATCTTGGCTCACTGCAAGCTCTGCCTCCCGGGTTCATGCCATTCTCCTGCCTCAGCCTCCCCAGTAGCTGGGACTACAGGTGCCGCCACCACGCCCGGCTAATTTTTTGTATTTTTAGTAGAGACAGGGCTTCACTGTGTTAGCCAGGATGGTCTCCATCTCCTGACCTTGTGATCCGCCCACCTTGGCCTCCCAAAGTGCTGGGATTACAGGCGTGAGCCACCGTGCCTGGCCCACTTCATTCTTTTTTATAGCTGAATAATATTTCATTGTAAGTGTATACCACACTTTGTTTATTCATTCATCTGTTGATGGACACCTAGATTGTTCCACCTTTTGGCTATTATGAATAATGCTGCTGTGAACATTGTTTTACAAGTGTCCATTTGAGTCACTGCTTTTAATTCTTTTGGGTATATACCTAGGAGTGGAATTGTCAGATCGTGTGGAAGTTCTTTGTTTACCTTTCGGAGGAACTGCCAAACTGTTTCCCACAGTGGCTGCACTACTTTGCCATCTTACCAGCAGCGTACAAGGGTCCCTATTTCTCCACATCCTTACCAACACTGCTTTTCTTTTCTTTTTGTAGCCATCCTAGTGGGTGTGTGTGGTATCTGTGGCTTTGATTTACTTTTCCCTAATGTCTAATGAATGATGCAGAGCATTTTTTTGTTATTGACTGTTGGCATACCTTCTTAAAGAAATGTCTATTCAAGTCTTTTGACCATGTTGTATTGGGCTGTTTCTTTCTTTTTTTTTTTTTTTTTGAGAAAGAGTCTTGCTCTGTCACCCAGGCTGGAGTGCAGTAGTGCGATCTCAGCTCACTGCAATCTCCACTTCCGGGTTCAAGCGATTCTTCTGCCTCAGCCTCCTAAGTAGCTGGGATTACAGGCATGCGCCACCACGCCTAGCTAAATTTTGTATTTTTAGTAGAGACAGCGTTTTACCATGTTGGGCAGGCTGGTCACGAACTCCTGACCTTAGGTGATTTGCCTGCTTTGGCCTCCCAAAATGCTGGGATTACAGTCATGCGCCACCATGTCTGGCTAATTTTTGTATTTTTAGTAGAGATGGGGTTTCGCCATGTTGGCCAGGCTGGTCTCGAATTCAACTCAGGTGACCTACCTGCCTCGGCCTCCTAAAGTGTTGGGATTATAGGCGTGAGCCACCGTGCCTGGCCTGGGTTGTTTCTTAATGGGCAGAAAGAAGTGAACCAGTTTTTAGAATATCCCAAGCTTTTTAAATTTTATTTTTATTTTAATTAACCTCAGGACTTTTACTTATGCTTGGAATGTCCTTTCCAGTACCCTTATCCACACCTGCTCCTCCAATCTTTAGTTTATCAGATCTCCCCAGACACTTCTTCCCTGATATCCTATATTTATTATATTCTGCTCTGGAAACCATATTTTCGATTATAGAGCCTTACTTAGTTTCTTCATAGGACTTATCACAATCTGTATTTTTGTCTATATGTTTGTTTTTCACATTAGTATGGAAGCTCCTTGAAGGCATGGATTTTTTTTTTTTGTCTTTTATACTAATGAGCTCGGGCCCTGGCATCTAGTAGATGGTCAGTAAATACTTGATAAAAGAATGAGGCAAAGCTTATTTGCATAAATGTCCAGAAGCCTTGAACTTCACATTTAGTACTGCAAGCACTAATAGTTGATGATTACAGCTGGTCTTACCAAATAAATGAAAATTTGTTTTTAAACCTGCCAAGATATGAAATATTATTGACACTTTTTCTTAACTTAATTGAGCTTAAACACCTGTGCTGATAGCAGTAATTAGATGTGTGTATGTGTGTGGGCTCTTATCATACATGTATTTCCTAGCTCCGTGTGCTGAAAGGGCCTAAAAGCAGTGGTACTTCAGTAGCAATCAGTACATCTAGCAACCAAATCCTGAGTTTTCTAAATACCATTCTTACAATAAAAAGAAACAGAGCTCCTTGGTGAAATGGTTGGTTCCTGAGTTGGGGCAGGAAAATTATAAGACAAGCCTAGAACATCTTACGGTGACAGACAGTAAAGAAGTGGTCAAAAATGATGTCAGAAGTACAAAGAGCTAACTTTAAAGGAGTTGAGGGGCCCAATCTAGAAGAATTTAAACAACAAAATATCCACAAGTCTATACTGATAGATACATGGATACAAAGGAACAATTCTTCCTTATAGAATTCTAATTTCTTTTTTTTTTTGGAGACAGAATCTCGCTCTGTTGTCCAGGTTGGAGTACAGTGGTGCGATCTCAGCTCACTGCAAGCTCTGCCTCTCGGGTTCACGCCATTCTCCTGCCTGTAGCTGGGACTACAGACTTCCACCACCATGCCTGGCTAATTTTTTGTATTTTTAGTAGAGGCAGGGTTTCACTGTGTTAGCCAGGATGGTCTTGATCTCCTGACCTCGTGATCCACCAGCCTCGGCCTCCCAAAGTGCTGGGATTACAGGCGTGAGCCACCGCGCCTGGCCAGAATTCTAATTTAATTAATAAATATAGAAGGAATGATGGGAATAGAAGTCACCATTAGGCAGACAACACAGTAATACCATTCAGCACACACCATTAGGTATTACACGCATCATTAGACATTACAACACAGTAATAATTGTGGCAGTGTGCAGCGGTGCAATCATACCTCACTGCAGCCTCGAAACCATGGCTTGGCCGGGCATGGTGGCTCATGCCTGTGATCCTAGCACTTTGGGAGGCCGAGGCAAGCGGATCACCTGAGGTCAGGAGTTCGAGACCAGCCTGGCCAATATGGTGAAACCCCGTCTCTACTAAAAATCCAAAACTTAGCTGGGTGTGCTGGCAGGTGCCTGTAATCCCAGTTACTTGAGAGGCTGAGGCAGAAGAATCACTTGAACCCGGGAGGCAGAGGTTGCAGTGAGCCGAGACCACACCATTGCACTCCATCCAGCCTGGGCAACAAGAGTAAAACTCTTGTCTCAAAAAAAAAGAAACTATGACTCAAGTGATCCTCCCACTTCAGCCCCGAGTAGATGGGACTACAGGCACGCCACTATACCTGGGTAATTTTTTTTTTTTTTTTTTTTTTTCTTTTTTTT